AACTTCCGTGGGTAACATCAAGTTTCCATCTTGAATTCTTCAAAGAACTTCAGTTGGTGAACAAATTTCTCTGAAACAATAGGAAACAGGAGGTAGTGATGCCATAGGATTTCACTTGTTCACAGCCTGCACTGGCAGTTCTACCAAGGTGAACACCAGAGAGCTATGAAACCTACAGGGGAAGTCTTCATGCTACTGCAGCTGGGATGATACTGCTATCACTTGCCTTATAGAGAAATATCTTTTGTGAGCCATCCATGCAATCAGGTAAATGGCAATATTCATAACAGAGTATTCAGTGGATGCTGCAGATTGACATGTATTGACACATACTGATGAATCCATGACATACAGCATGCACACCACTATATTTTGTTCACAGTCTTGATTCACTGGAGGTTTTATAAATGCAGCTAAAAATCTAACCATTTTGAATTAAACAATGAGGCAGCTCTCCTAGCTAGCCCTTGTTGATTTTTAATTTTTTTCATATAACTTTCAAATTTGACAATATCTTCCTAGTTTTAGAGAAGCCCGAGCATTAGGGACATTATTCATATCATCCCATTAAGTTTTGATGATAATAATACAGTTGAGGCAGGCAGAAAGAGAGCAAGACAAGGTCAAATCTTTTTGCTTACATTGGTATAAATCTGGAATAACTCCCTTAGAGTCAGGGGGTGCATCTAGACATGCTATTAATGCAATATAAGCTTACTGCCTAGTAAAATACTGCACAGTAAGCCTTCCCTCAGAACACTTCTACAAGTGCACCCTGTTGGGAGCAAATCTGTTCCCAATGGGAGCAGTCCACTACAGGGCTGCTCCTGCTCCCCTGCAGGATCCAGGAGGAGCTCCAGGCTCCCCCGGTGCTAGCCTGTATGTCCATGCAAAGCGACTAGTATTCGCTTTGGATTTGGATTTGGCGGATCCGGGGGACAGAGATTCGATTCGGTGATTCAAATCACTGTCCCGAATCAATTCGGCTGAATCTGATTTGGAGATTCAACTGTCTTTGAATCAGCTGAATCTCCAAATTGGCTCCACCCTCTGCCTGCTTTCAATGACTGCCCCATCTGGTCTCCCAGCTCCCAGCTCTTTAAAAAAAAAAGAAAAAAGACCCCACTCACCGGCTGCTGCCAGACAGGCGGGCAATCCCTGCTGCCCCCCCAACTGCCCCATGCCATGTGGGGGAGCGGCAGGGGGGCTCTGCTATGAGCCCCCTGACCCCTGCCCGCAGCTCTAGCCCCCCCCATGGCTGCCCCACCCAGCCCAGCTCCTGGCCCTTTGAAAAAAAAAAGGCCCCCATTCACTGACTCCTGCTAGGTGGGGGGGTGATCCCTGCTGCTCCTCGCTGTCCCGTGCTGCATGGGGGGCTCTGCCACGGAGCAGTGGGGATTGCCCCCTTGCTGGGCAGCAGCCAGCAAGCGGGGGCTTTTTTTTAAAGAGCTGGGGCTGGGAGAGCGGGCGGGGGTCAGGGGGCACTCAGGGGAGCTGGGGGAGCAGGCAGGGGATGGGACCTGACAGGGGTGCCCCCGTGGTCCTCTCCCCACTCCCCCTTCCTCCAGCATGGAGTCCGGGTCCAACTCCCTACTGCAGTGAGTGGGGACTGCCCAAATTGGTGAAGTTCCCCGAATCTTTTCAAAATCAATTCGGAGAGCCTTGAATTGATTCAGACCTTTTAATTCGTCTCCTGATTTGATTTGGATCTGGAGATTTGGCCTCCGAATCGGGCCAAGTTTCCTCCAAATCGAATCAGCACCCGAAGTTTCACACAGTCCTACTCGCCTGGGGGCTGGCAGGGGACATGGGGGCTGGTCCCAGTGCACACGGGGCCAGAAGAGCTCTGTCAGCTACAGTTGCAGCTGTTTCCTGGCCCTGTGTATACTGGGAGGGGTCCTGATGTGCATGGGGCTAGGAGACAGCTGCCACTGCAGCCAGCAGAGCTCTTCCAGCCCCAGGTACATGGGGACACACAGCTGCCAGCCAGCCCAGTGTCCAGTGGGGTTTCTCCTTCCAGCAGGGGGCTCACCGGGAGCTATCCTGCTTCTGGAGCAACTGCTGGTGAATCCCTTGCTAGGTGGGGATTCTCTGCTTAGCAGGGGGCTGGCCAGGACCTGTCCTACTATTGGGGCAGCTGCCAGTGAGCCCTTGACTGGGTGGGGGTTTCCTGCCCAGCAGGGGCTGGCCTAGACCTGTCTTGTTCCTGGGACACAAGCAGGACAGAAAATTTGCTCCCAGTCAGCATCTACATGAATGGTACTGCACAGCAGCTACTGCAGAGTTAATCTACTACCTGTATTTACAGGTAGTAGAAAACAGTGTACTAGCCTAATTTACTGTGCAGTAGTTGCTGTGCACAGTTGCATGGTGACACCTTACTGTGCAGTAAATTAGTTTAAAGCGTCTTATGTAGACATGCCCAGAAGGTACAGCAGTGTGCCTGTGAGAGGAAAATCAAATCTACTATGTTTAACGTGGATATTTTTGAAGAAATGGCCCCTGGTTTGTTGAACTTTCTCTGTAATTCAGCAAATATCCTTACTTGTTCATTATTTATGTCTACTTTGTCAGTAGCGTTCCTGCTTAAAAGTACTTGGCATGAGATACTGTTTCTATGAACACCACACTTTCAAAATTCCTAGAACTCTTCTGTTCTTTGTAAGTAATTTCCGATACTTTGCTTTTTAAGATACAGTGTATGAATGGCACCCTGATGCATGTCTACCGAATGTCTAAGTAATGTGAATAGATTTCCAACATAAGACTAAATACTTATTTTTGTTAACTTAGTGGAGACCATTTGGTTTGGGGCACATTTGAATCATGACACAGGCATTTGAAATTAACAGAAAGCACTGCAGCCTGACAGAAAGTGCGGTCCATGAAATAAAAAATTAAGTGATAATCAACTATATATATTTTCTTGGTGTGCCCACTAGAGCATAGTATGACAGAAAGTCAGGTTTGACTGTTTTTTGTTTTTGTGATGAGTCTACCAATGCTGAAGAAAGTATATCCACCCTGAAAAAAAGTTGGTGCTGATCTGGCAAAAAATTGGTGCTGATCTGGCAAAACATTTCTAACCCTGGCAGGTCAGGGAACGTTGGCCTACAGGTGTTATCTAATGCATTGAAATAACGTAGCAATATTTTTTCTATGTTAAATTATGTCAAATATCAATAGAAAAAATTATAGGAAGTCCTTAGCAGTGGCTCCTTCTCTCAGTAAAATTATTTCTCCTCAGCAAAAAGAGGAGCCTTTGATTCCCTGGCTGGTATCACAGGCACTGCCAATTTCCACGCTGCAGATGAGCTGCGCATGTGCCCTGAAACTGAGTACAAAGAATACATTTAGACAAAGAAAAGGAAAATCTCATATTTCATTGGGACATTTTAGCTCTTCTTGAAGGGGCATAAAAGTGCTGCTTGTAATGCCAACAACAATCTGCTTTGCTAAGAGAGAGAACAACAAATATTCTTTCAGTTCTTGTGAAATTATTCAATTTTCTGCAGTTAAAGTTCTACACATGTTTAAATGTATACTTTAAGAAATAAAGCAACACTTACATTTTAAAGGCAGTTTACTCAATTGCTGTCTCGCTTTGCATTTTGCATTTCCAAATCTCTGTTTTAATTTTGGCTGTATTTCAGCAGCCTATATGGTCATAAACCGCTGGAGCTCATGATTAAGTATGCACATGGGCAGTTACCTCAGAGCAGCTGATGCATGGTAAAGCCTGTATCCTTTTAACTTGTGGTAAATTATTGTATGTCCATTTCCAAGGCTAAAAATGGATGCTACCTGGGAAAGAGGAAATTCTGTTTAGAAGAACTTTATGTGCCCTTTGCAACACGTAAGTGGCACAAATGGTCTATATTCCAGGCCAGGATCTGGGCCTTACAGAAGAGATTTTCGACAGAATTTCTTTTGAACACACAAAATGGATTAAGACTGTTCTGAGGCACTCAAAGTGCTGCATTATCACTTTACTTTTTTAATGGAATCTAAAAGTTTTTAACCTAGGTAATGGATAGTGCTTGAGCATACAAGCTTACATGCAAGGTTTTATAGGCACAGTTTCCAACAAAGTTTTCATTTCTTGCAAGTCAATTACAAAGAAGTAGTCTAGATGTATTTGAAGCTTAAGTTTTTAACTGAATCTAAAAATAACTTCACACACAAGTGAATTGATTCTATTATAATTACAAAAACCCCCCAAGAAAAGTATTCTGGTGCAGCTGGCCAGATAAGAAATTAAGGTTACAGAACTAAAAGAAGGAAAATTAACTGTGCCTTTCTTTATTTTCCGCTTTTTCTCTCTGGTGGACTGAGGCAAGGGAATTGGAATAAAATGAGAAAACTGTCAGTCTGCAATGCTTGACATTGGTAGGGTACTGCTGTGAAGAAGGTTTTGCACTGCTTAATGAACAGCAGTATCTATCCAGACTGGGAAATGATAAAAAAGAACAGGATTGAATGCACTGGCATTGTGAGGCTTCTGTTCTCCAGAGATGTGGTTTAGGTTACCTTTGGAAGGCCTTCTGTTCCCTTGGCTGCCTCTATTCAAGCAAGTCAGATACTCCCATTATGACCCAGGGACATTTGCTCCATTTTTTTCCACAGATGTTAACAGCTACTTCCAGAGCAAGTCAGGGCTGAGAAACATTCTCAGGAGACTGAATGTCTGATCCTAAATACTCTCCATTCATGGAACTCCTCCTGACCTCAGGAGGGATTGTGTATCGGGGAGGCCTGCAGAACTGGATCTTTTTTGGCTAAAAGGAGGCTCTGCTGAGAAACCTTCCAAGTGTGTTTTTTCTGCTTAAGTGGCACCAAGCTTAAGAGGTTGGGTGCTCCTGCTACTTTGAGAAGGCAAGATGCACAAGAAACAGCTTGCAGGTGTGGCAGGGGGAAGTTAGGAGCTACAGGCCCTAAAGGGGCTGGGTTAGTAGGATATAAAACCAGGGCTTAAGCTGAGCAGGCTGTGTAGCTCTGAGAGCTGTGGAGGGAAGAGCTCTGGAGCAGCAGGGTGCTTGACTGATATTGAGCTGGAGTAAGCAAGGCTGGTGGTTTAGGGATTGAGACTCTAGGGGCAGTGGAGGTCTCAAATAGCCTAGGAGTGGGCCCAGGGCCTGAGGGAGAGATGCCAAGGTCCAGGAGCAGGGCCACAGGCAGGGTCATGGAACAATACTCCATGAGGGGTGAGAGCCAGGGTTAGGGATCCATAGCCCATGAGGGCAAGAACAAGTATGGTCAGGAAGCCCGTATCCTGGGAGGTCTCAACTGGACTGGGAGTGGGGCCAGTGCCAGGGCCAAAGGCTGAGGAGGGGCCACAGCCAGAGACTGTTGGGGCTAAGGAGTGTGCACATCAAAACTGGCCTAGGAGCAGGGCCAGGGCCCTGGCAGAGGGGGTCAAAGGCCAAGGAGGGCTATTGCCAGGGACCTGCAACCCAGAAAAGGGGAGTGACAAGGCCAGAGGCTACTGTCTCTGAGAGGTGGAAATAGTATCAGGGACCCAGGGCTCTGCCCAGGAATAGCCAAGAGGGCTAAGTGCTTGGGCATGAGTGGAAGGAGACAGAGGCTGGAGCCTAGGAGGGACAGAGAATGCAGACCTGAGCTAGTGAGTGATCAGTAACATCTGTGAGGCTTGGACGTGGCTAAAGGGGAGATGAGGAGCCCTTAAGGTGATGAGCAGCGACATCTGTGTTCTCATTTGGGAAGCTCTGGGGCAGCCTCCCTTTTTATTAAAGCTAACTTCATCAAGGTATGGCAGATAGAAGGGGAGATTGCCCAAAGAAAGTAAAGTTGAAAAGGGCTGAGTGGGCTTCAGGGGCTTTGTGGCCACCCCTGGTGAGGACCCTGTTGCATCTCCTATCCCTGACTTTTCTCTTCGTATTTAGGAAAATTAGATTAAGGCTTAGTCTACCTAACAGGGCTGCAACTGCAGGTACCCTGCTGACAAAAGGAGTTTTCTGCTGCCAGGATTTCACCAGCTTCTTGAAATGGGCGAAGCTTTGCCAGCAGAAGCCTTCTTCCACAAGGAAAGGTGTGTCCATAATGAGCATGCTCCCAGCCTAGCCATGTTAGCTATGAGGCATGATTTTTCTCCCTGTCCTAGCTGATACAGTTGTGCTGGCAGCAAGCCTAAAATTAAGGTAGTGCTCTGGTTGTCCACTTTTTGTTGTGTTACTGTGGGTGCCTGCAGTCTCCACCCCTCAACCATACTGTATATCATTAACTTCTTCCTTATGGACTAAACTGTCAACTTAAGTATCTTGTTTTTATATTTAGGATTTGATTTTTTTTTGGAACTGATGATTTCATGAGGCCACTTCCAGTCCTACTTTCCTATGATCAGGGGTCCCCTGGATAAGATGGTGCTAGGGTGAGCACCCTTCCCTAACTGGGCCGGAATGGGATCATCAAGTCCTGGTCCCAGGCTGCACAATTCCACGACAGCATTTGTCTCAGATTATCAGTCTTGTGCAGGGATCCATGGGAAACAATGGGTTTCTCTTTGCAGGTAGGCAGTGTTCCAGCCTGCACGGAGCTTCTGGGAGTGGGTTGCAGGGAGCACCATGTACATATGCGCACCTGCACCTGGCTGGCAAGACAGCTGGGCAGCCTGGAGAGCAGCTCCCTGCAAGTAAGTTTATGGTGGGGCAGGGGGCATGGAGGAGGCAGATTGAGGTTCCCACAGTGAGGGAGGGAATGGGGCAGGGGCTGGGAGCACTGCCTAGCCAGGAAGGTGCATGGGGCTCAGGGCCAGGAGTAGGACAGAGCCACAGGTGGCTCATCCAGGGGGCAGAGGAGGGGACCCCAGATTTGTGACCCCCAGATTTGTGTGCAGGGCAGAGAGAATGTAGCCTGAGCTCTCCATCCTGCTGGCTTTCCCCCAGGAACCCCACTCTGCCTGCCTAGCAGCAGCATGGAGTTGTGCCTCCTGCTGCTGCTGGGTGGGCAGGGGGTGCACAGATGGTGCAGGCAGGGCTCTCAGGGCAAAGGCAGTAGGGTGGGGAGCCCCAAACTTGCAGCTGACAGCTTGCCCCTTCTGGGGTCTGCTCTGGCCATTGCGGGCAGTGGCGGGGGGGGGTAGGGAAGGAGAGGTGGGCATGTGTCCCACCTTTCCATTTTGAAAAGATGGTCACCCTAGACAGTGCTCTTTGAAATGCTAGAGACTTCATCAAGGTGCCAGCAAAATTTGGAAGAATCTAGTGAAAAGAGCCAGGGAAATAGCCAGGTCAACATTCCTCACCTACCTGTTTCACACTTATTGTCTCTCATAGCCTCTGCCATGCATTTTCATAGACCTGTATTTTGCACATTAGCTTCTATTCCACCCAGGAGAGCACAAAACACCAGCAGACTCTCCCTATGCCAGAAGAAGGGTGCTTGTGTCTGAAAGCTTGCAAAAAACAATTTTTCTAACTGTTTAGTTGGTGTAATAAAAGATATCACATTTACCCAATGAACCCTGTCTGCCAGGGAAGTAGAGAGAAAGCTAACATCAAATTAAATATAGCAAGGCCTCTTGAAATGGGTGTACATAACAGCTGCCTTTATTTCAGGCCCTTTGCTTGGGGATAGCTGGAACAATAGGAGCTACTGCCACAGACGCAAGCCACGCGTGAGGCTGATCAGGAATCTGCAGCTTGTGGGCCAAATGTAAACGTGGGGCAAGGCAGGATTGAATGTAATTGCAGCTGTGCGTGTCTGTGCCTGGCCTGCACTAGAAAGTTCTACTGATATGACCCCACCAGTAAAGTATCCATAAGCCTACAAAACCCCAGGTCTGCGTCAGCTGAGTGACATCACATTCTCGAGCAACAAAATCCACACAAATTTGTTCTTGTTGGCTGTAGCAGTATCCATCAGCAATCCCAGAATGATTGGTGCCAACTACTCTGGTCAAAATTATAAACTCCCTCTAGCCACCTATCGCCTGCTCTTTCTTTTGGAAAAAGTTTCTTTTCTTACTATCCATCCATTTTTATCACAAAGAGACATATGCACTGAAGCCACTTACACCTGCCTTGAGCAAGAAGGAGGTTCTTGATCTCAGCCTATGGGGAGAGATGGTGTGGAAACTCAAGAACAAAGATATTTACAAAGAGATAGTGGGGACATGCAGGTCACGGGGTCCAAACCAGGCAGAAGCAGTGCCAGCCCAAAGCCAAGGCTAAAGATTCTGCCAGTTGTACCCCACTGTGAACCCGAGAACAAAAAATCTGGAGCCATCCCATAAAGGTTTCCCTTCTATCAGTGAGCTCCTTGCCATTCTTGGCAATGACCCAGCCAACACCCCGTTTCTGTGGATGCCTTCCAGGACACTGAGGAACAGGCCTCTTAGCTAGGGGAGGAAAGGGGGGTATAACTTCTGGGCAAGGATGAGGGAGAAGCTTATACAGATGTTGCCCTGGCTTGGCCTGTCAGCCACTCTTCTGAACACAGGATGGCTGAAGTCAGAGCTTGTTCCAACGGACAGAGTACAGTAAGGAAGTCAAAGACAGCTCTGGTAGTTGCTGCAATTTTTTCCTACCCCCTCAGCACATTTCCCTTTCCTCAAAGTGATCCTGAGGACAGAAAGACACAGAAAGGAGCAAAGAAAACCTAGATACAGCCAGGGAAACTCTTGTGGTTAAACCATCTGAAAAAATTAAGCAAGTGAGCAGCTGGGTAAAACACTGGCTAGATTAGATTTGTGAGCTAAGAAATTGTCCTCCTTGATCCCTGCTATGTTCAGGGAAACAAGACTTTTGTCAATGGATATAAACAGAATTGCATCCAAGAGATTCTCTTCTCCATCATGAATTTCTCTTTCCAGTGCAGGATCCTGAATTTTGAATGCTCAGGTCCAAAGGGGCAACAATACTAAAAAACCCCACATGACAAAACATTGTTCAGGAACTGTAGATTCTAGAGCAAAATTTTAAAAACACCTGAACCTCTCTTATCAGAAGGAAAGCTAGTACTATGCAAGAGACAGAGCCTACTAGATGATTTGAAAGTAGGAAGTACAGTTATCACAGAGATGTTTATTAGCCTGTAATAGCAAATTGTTTTCTCTCCAGCTTTGGCCGACAAGCAGTAACTTTTGATCAGAGCAAATCTACTTCAGAAAGTTTAATGGATGTCTTGTAGTAGTCAGAATAGAACAGATACCTTCATCATAGAGACCAGCTGTTTGAAAACACACTTCTAATGCGTTTGACTAGAGAGAAAAAAGATTACTAACAATACAGGCCTCAAGATAACGTTGTTCTATCAGATCCTTTCTGGGGGAAGATCTGTGCATAGTTTATTTTCCATCAGATACCATGTGGGTTTGTTTCCACATGCAATAATAGATGCAGAATAGAAAGCTGCAGTGGAGATCAGAGTACTGCATGACATAGGGAAATTCTAAGTGCCTAGAAATGGAGAGAAAACTAAATCAATTAGCAGTAAGTGGGGTCCAATCCACTATTGTCATATACCTTGTGTGGCCCTAGTGTAAATTTGGTGCCTTTCTGATTTGATATTACCACTAGTGATGTAAATGCCCCAAAAAGCTACACAACAGTGGGTTTTGGAGAAGAGATACCAGCTGACTATCATCAAGAAGACCAAGTTCAGAGCTCAACCTTGACTGAGTTGCTTGGTTTGTGTTCCAGAATGCCATGCTAATGAAGGTTATGGGCTTGCATTGGTTTAAATGATGGCAGAAATTGTTCCAGAAGATTTAAGAATAGGTACTAACTGTATTTTTGTATGAAGAATATCAGCAGGGAAGGATGATCACTTTTTTATGGTACTCTCTATTTGTGTTTATCTGGCTAATATCTCAGAGCACCCTGTCACAAGTCGAAAGTCCATGAAAAATAAATGGTCCATTAGGCTAACACAGTTAAGCCATGCCAGATTCCAAAGCTGCTTCCATACAAGGGAGTGATGTGGCAACCTTTGACTCAGACCAAATGAATACAGCTAAGAACTTATAGCTGGGTCTACTGGACATTGCCTTTGGCAGAAGTCTAAAGCAGAGATTGAATTCATGCCCTGAGGGTGCAGCAAGACACCCTAATTGCTTTGTTGCAACCCTCAAGTTCTCAGGATACCTGCCCATGTTCAGTTCTCAGCTTTCTACATTAGACATTTTCTGCTGTTTTCCTGACACATGAATTCTGAACTTTCTGCCCAAATGTTAAAAATTCCCCATAGAAAATACATCCAGTCATTGGATGTTTCTGCACTCTTGTTGCAGTGTTCTTCAATTTACCTGGACTATCACCGATTTTTCCATTTAATATACTAAACATTTTTAAATGAAAGTTGGGGCAAAATGTAGTCCTCCTTTCAACTAGGGCTGGAGCAGTGATTCACAAAGTCAAAAATCTTTGGCACAGTTATTAAGCACACTAGAATATGAAGCAAATAAAATTCTAATTAGTTAGACATATGCGTGCCTACTAATTCATGTAAGAGGAATAGAGTCCGGTGGTGCAGAAGCTGACTTTTGGAATCCTGTGTACAATTAAAATAATCAGTATTGTTCTCTCCCCTAAGCTTGAGAAAAGGACAGAGTCTTTATTCTCTGCAAAGTGTTTTTGGGGCTGGGCCAAGGGCAGGTCTCCTTGGTGATCTACATTTGTTTTTAGGGGCCCCTTTAGTGTGAGAAGCAGCAGGGAACCCTTCTCATTTTTTGAAGTAAAGGGTTTGTGTTGACAGACAAGAAGGGGAAGGTCCCCAAAGAGTGTAAGGGTAGGGTAAATTTTAAGGAGGAGTAGTTTCAGACAAAGCTATGGCTGAATGGAGACCACCATCTAAAGAAGAAACTAATTTACAACCAAAGGAATTTCTGGATTTCTGTGTTAGCGGCTTTTCTATATTTGTGTTCTCCAGCTTTTACTAAGGTAGGTCTCTATCCTATATCACCTTGTCTCTATTTCTCTTTCTTTCTTTGTAGGCTTCCCCTGAATTTAATTTTAAGTTTGGAGAAGTGGAGGGCAAAGAAGATGCATTGCTCTAATTCACATGTGGGGTTAAAAATGAAAAGGTCAGAGCAGATCTTAAATATCCTGGTCTGGCCAGAAGACACACATTTTCAGCTGCTTCCTGAATTTTTTTCCCCTCTTGATCCAGAGAGCAGTGAAGATGCTATAGAAAACATTTAAAAACACAAAAATGCTTTAGAGAAAGGCAAAGGCTGGGAAAAATATTAACCTAAACTTAAACACCCTCACTCCCACCCCCTCCTGCCCCTCCAATATCAACCTGCTCTACAGAGACCACACAGCCCAGACTGCGAGAGGTAAAAGGTGGCTTTAAGCCAATTTTGGCAGCTAATGTGTCCCCTGATACAATACAGTTGAAGAGCTGTACCTTAACGCAGCACCCAGCAGGGATGATTATGGTCTGCTCCACACCCCCACGAATCCTCCACAGAGCCGTACATCACACAGACTTCTTCCCTTTGCACAAACATAACACACTGGTGAGTCTCTGTGTTACAGGCCCCTTTCCCTGCTCACTCTGCAGAGGACGTGAGTCTCTTGCAGCTCCACCTTGATTTTAACTCCTGAATTCAAGCCATGGCAGCATTTGCTTTTATGTCTGCAACATGGTTCAATGAGCGTTGTGTTAGTCAAGATGGTGGTTGCCATGTAAGTGAAGTTCTCAGTGTTCTCTAGTTAGGCCTGTATCTAAAGCTCTGTAGATTAGAGGGGGTCCAGGGGTACTTTCCTCTGCCTTTTTGTATGTAGGGCTTGTGTGGCTCCTGTATACCAAAACAGCAGCATAAGGAACAAATACACAAGCCAGGAGCCCACCTGTGTTCTCTAAGAGCAATTTAGGAATTGGTTAAAGTGATTATTCTGTTATTAATTATATGAGCCGTTTACTTACAATATCTGAACTTATATCCAAACACAGACACTAAAGGCTATGTGCAAAATGCAGTGAGATGTATAGCGCACATTGGTCAGACTGTTATGAAACACAATCATCTCACCCTCCTCTCCCGCAGTCACATTTTTCCCCACCTGTTCCTGGATTTTTCACTGATGGAATGCTGGCAATGCATTTAATTTTAGTGTGGGAAATTCCCAGGCTCCAGAATAGAATTGCAAAACTCTTCTTGCCACTGTTCACATGGCGCTCATGCCTTTTCTAAAAAGAGGAACAAGGAAACACACCTAGGTAAACAGAGCAGTACAAACACTGCTAAGGAAACAAAAATATCCAGGCCTTAAAGCCCTTATTATTCTTGTATTCATTGTGCCCTGAACCTAGTGTTTAAAGAGGGTAAACTATATTTGAAGATGGTATTAACAAGCCATAAGCAGAATGAAGATGTTGGGATGAAACTGCTGTTTCATTATCAGCAGGGATCCGGGTTTTCCATTTTCCATGGAAAAACAGAGAAAAATGTGGATTTCTCATTTTAATGGAGAAACATGCAGATTTTGCACTTTTGCAAAGAGCTGTCTGCAGGCTGGCAGAGTTCTAGCCTGCAAGGGGCTGGAGGGAGTGAGAGGAAGGTGGTCAGGTAGGGGGCACCATATGCATGTATCGCCCCCAGGCAGCCAGGTAAGTCTGGGGGGGTGGTGCAATTGAGGCCCCCATAGGGAGGGAGGGAGTTGGAGAGGGCTGGGGCTGGGGCTACTGCCCAGCCTGGGGGTGTGTGGGGCTTGGGGCCTGGGGCCGGACTGCATGGCTGCAGGGTCCCAACGGGGAGTGGGACAGGGCTGTAGGCAGCTTATCCTGCAGTTGGGGGGTGGGCCCAGCTCCCCGCTGCTGTGTGCACTCCCAGGGTGGGCAGGGGGAACCCATGCCCCCAAGATCTGTGCATGGGGTGGAGGTGGGTATGGGTTGCCTACTGTGGGCTTGGGTTCCCTACCCTGCTGCCCTCCCCTGGGGCATCTGTGCCCCAGTGAGTGGGATGCAGTGCAGCAGGGCAGAGAGGGGCCAGGTGGGGAAGCTTTTTGCAGCTGTGAGCACCACGTTGCTCTGGTGAGAAGTTCCCTGCCCTCCCCACAGCAGTGGGGGCAGTGGTGTAGTGTTGTGCCCCTTACTGCTGCAGGGTGGGCAGGGGGCACATTGCTAGGGTGACGCAGGGCTCGCAGCAACAAGGAGCTTCCCTGCCTGGCCCTACTCTGCCCTGCTGTACTGGGTCCCACTTGCTGGGCCACAGAACCCCGAGGGGGAGGACAGGAGAGTGGGGAGCCTGAGCCCACAGCAGGCAGCCTGCCCTTGCTCCTGCCCTGCACACAGATCTGAGGGGCGTAGGTCCCCCTGCCTCCCCCCTGGGAATACGTGTAGTGGCGGGGAGCCAGACCCACTTCCCCTGCATGAGCCCACAGCAGGCAGCCCACATTCACCTTCCCATGGCTCTGGCTGTGCCACCTGTGTGGGAGGGAGAGCTGGGCTCCATGCTCTGCTCTGGTGCAGCAGCTGCTGCCTCCCACGGGTACAGCCGTGGCTCTGGCACTGCTGCAGCAGACAGGGGGCTGTGGACCTGGATTGGCCCTGTAGCTCTGGCAGCTGGGGGCCCCCTCTGGCAGGGCTGGGGGGGAAAGGGACTGTTGGGGGGGGAGAGGGGAACCAGCAGG